CGATATTTCTTGGTAAAATAAATTGGCAGCCATTGGCAGTGAAATATAATCACTGTGAAGCCAATGAACAGTTTCAAGGGGGCCGTTTGATGGTCTTCTTGTAGAACACTAAATATTTAATTGGAAAAGTGAGTCTCTTAGGGAAGGATCACTAATTACTCCTGTCTCTGTAACCCCTTTGAAATGTGTGGCTCAGAGGAAACAAACTTGAATTTCCCCAAATACTGAAAATTTATTATTATTAATTCTTACCTTTGATTATCTGCTATATGATAACACTATGAAATTTATCTTGTTTTGTGTTATTTGGATACTTTGTTTACAAAAGGGAAAAAGGAAAAGGATATGGTGAATATATGTTTTCATTCTTCCTTATTGCTTTTCAATCCTTAAGTGTTTAGTATTTCCATGAAAGTGTTTGTAATGAGAAAATTATGGGAATGTTGGATACAAGACATGGATGACTTTTTAGTATCTGTTTATTTGTATAACTTTGTTTTGGGGGATGACAAATGTAGTGTGTCTCAGGTTGCTTTCTAAGGTTTAAAATATGTAAAACAACAAAACTAATGAAAACCTTTCTGTTTGTTTTCTGCCACCCAAGGAATCAGCGCACTGTGTGGAGAGGACTTCTCTGTAGGTGTTGAGCAGATCAGAGTGATCCAGGCATGCTGCTTATTTCAGTAATATGTTGCTACTACTGCTTTATTCAGTGAACACTTTTACAGAATTGTAGGCGATAAAAAGAAAGAAATTCTCTCGATATAATGTTTAAATAAGTACCTCAAATTCTATGGTGCCTATTTGGTCTTGAAAATATTTTCCCATGTTTTCTTTAGATTGTGCCTAAGTGGAAGTCAAATAAGTTCTAAAGTTATTATTATGTATGCATTGATGTACACATGAAGCTGTTAACACAGGCATCTTTGACAGGGCAAGCTTGGAGTGACTTCCCTGAAGTTGTTATCCTGAACTGTCTGATTTTCCTCTTCCCTTTTTGTTGAATACATCTTTTTAGAAAAAGGGCGTAATGCAGAAGGAGCCACAAAACATTTTGATTTTGCTCCTTTGTGTGTCATATCAGCCAAACTATTTAACTTAAAAAAATGAGGAAAAATAATGCTTGTAGGCTACGAATATATGCCAAGTTTATACCAACATCACATATTTTATTACTGATTTATAAATCTCTCAAAAAGGATAGAAATGTTGACACATTAATAATGCTAACATAATGAATTCTGCATTCTTCAAGAAAAAATACAGGAAAGAAATAAAATGGACAATGATAATCTAAGGAAGTGGAAATTTCTTAATAAAGCACATGAGCTATTTTGTTTTCATAAAGATTTTTACTTTCTATATTTGTTTCATGAAAAAACTTACTACAGATTATTTTATATTAACAATGAACATCTGATATTTTACTATTATTTCAAAGAAATTTAAAATTTAAATGATATTTAAACAAATAAGTGGTAGTTTTCATGCTATCATGAAATGCTTTCTTCTTTTGCAGGTTTTTATGTGTTAATTGTGAATTCTGTAAACTTATGTTTTAAAAAGAAAGCAAAAATATTAAATATAAACAAGATTATTCCTCAGTTTTTTAATCCATCTGGTAAAATATCAAATACATTTAAAATGATAATTTCCGATATTTCTATTGTTAAAGAAAAAATAGATATAATTGTAACATATCAGAAAGCGAATTTGAGAGTCTGTACTACCAATCCTAAAATTCATGTATATAATCTCAATCATTACACTATACAGACTTATCATAAGTTTTAAGTTAATGATTTGGTTAAACATTTATAAATTGATATTATGTGCATATCATCTTAAAATTATAAGAAATTATGTGAAAAACAGAGAAGACATTAACTTTATTATGGTGCACAGGTATCTAGAATGTTGAGTAAATTTAAAGAAAAATTTCTGAAAGATATTCAATAAACTGAGGGAGCTAGTATAAAGTTAACTAAAATATAAACATAAATAGAAACAATAATATAGATAACAGATATAACAGGATATAAAAAAATTAAATCTCTTCCAGTCACTGATATAAAACAATTAAGGCATTTGCCAAGTCATCATATGCACATTTACAAAGTAAATTTTTTAGAATCACTTTAAGGATTTTGAATTTCCTTAGCCACTTTAAGACTTCAAGATAGCAGATGAGCAAGTATTCAAATGAAGATAGTTTTTTGTAAAGGCTGTGTTTTGAGTCCAATCCTCTCTGTTGCCCCAGATTAAAAGAATTTCTTGTCCTTTTTCATCAAACCAGTTGATAGTGGTCTTCTACAGAGTTTTAAGAGAGCTTTTATGTGTTCCTCTACAACTAGGTGTGACAAATTCTAGTCTAACTCCCACCTTACACATGTGTGATGGAAGTGGACTAACCAACCGCACGGGTTGCTGAACTGATGAAGAACTACTTTGATGAGAAGGATTTGCAAACCTAGACTTAGCTGAGGCAATAATCAATGAGTGATTGGTGACAAGATAAGAGCAACCAGGAGTAGATGCTTATAACTGTTTCAACTCTTGTTTTATTGGACAGCCAGCAGAGATGCTTCAGTGATAGCAAACTGGGAGTTAAACACCTGCAGGCTGCGAAGAATGCGTACTAATGACCACCCTCACCATCCACGGGAGTCAAAGGAACTGCTTGAGGAAAAGCCATCAGTATCCTGCCCCAAATTTATGAAATTAAATAATTTCTCTGAGATACCTTTTGTATGCTAATTATCTGCAACTGCAATTAGTGAAAATTTAAATAATCAGTTTGGAGAATAGTAAACTGCATACAGAGATCTTTTATAGCTTTGCCATCAGAGAGACCTAAATTCAAGTCCAGTTCTACCCATGATTAAAATGAGTAATATTTGACAAATTAATTAACCTCTTGAAACTACAGCTTTATCATCCATTTTGTAAAGGGATAATAATGCTACCTAACTCCCAGAGTTAGAGTGAGGATTAAGTGTGATAATGAATGTAAAACATTTAATCCAGTGTCTTGTAAGTAGTAAATGCTCAGTAAATCTTAATTACATTATTATCATTATATTCCTTGTCATGCAGAGGAAAACATCAGGGACAATCATCATGGCAAATAGTACTGAGCATCTTTCCTCACCTATATCAAGGGGATAGAGATGACCTCATCATGCTTAAAGTAGCCTTGTAAACCAAGGCCATTTAAAAACCGAATTTTAATATTTTTGAAAACCTGAACATGCATGTCTTAATTAAAATTGCCGAGTTTCCCGAAAATGTTCTAGTAGGGAAAAAGCCAACAATGAGAAATAAACCTCTACTCTTTCTTGGATTGCCAGCAATAAGTGGAAATTCCACAAAATATCTATGTCCCCACTGGGAGTATTTCCATAAACAACATCCGTTATTTATTCTCAGGACAATTTGTAACCTGCTGGAAAACGATACAAGGGCTCTCCTGCTCTTTTTTGTATTATCTGACTCAGGCACATAAAGTTCATCACCACACCATTTGCACTCTGTTCCTGCCAGTGTCACAAATGGTTTCAGCAGCAGGAAGCTCACAAATGTTGATTGTAATTAAACAAAGCAACTTTACTCTCAGGCATAGGAAGAAGTGCTTTTCACCATGTGAGCACTTAGCCTAGAGCTCAAGATTTTAAAGATTAAACTAAAAGTATGTGCATTGTTCTTGGGAAGGAGAGCCAGTGGCCTGCAGTGAGTCTCCATGATTGTAAGTTGTAGGTGCATGACTTTGAATCCCTGATCTATAATTTACTGAGCAGTCATACTCCTTTCATGTTTCAATACTCGACTTGGCAAATCTGATTTCCTTTACCACCAATCCCTCTGGTTCATTTTCTCCAACTATGTGGTGTGGGCCCCCTGCAGGAAGCCTGATACCACCCTCCTGCTGCTCTGTCCACCTGTTTAGAATTTACATCCAAATTTCATCTAAAACATACCATTTTCCCCCTGGAGAATAGCGAGTTAATATATTTACAAATTCCAGATGAATTAGATACATTTGAGGGCTTTACAGTTTCAGATTTTGCAAAGTAGTCTTTGATGCAGCTGGCAGTCTCCACTTTTAGATTAAAATCAAAACAGAACCCCCACCCAATAAAAGCCAAACAAAACAAGGCACAAAAAGAATTCCTTCTATGCACATTTTGTGAATATTTTACCCCTCTAACCATGGCATTCAACATGCCAGTTCCAGACACAAATGATTATATGCATTTTAGGTTAGCTTTTTCTTAATAAAAACAGACAGAATTTCTTTTTCATGGGAATTATGCACTATTTCTGAAGTGCTGGGCTACCTGGCTCCTCAGGCAACTCTCCATCTATCAGAGCTCGGAGCTCAACTTCCTTCTTCCTTCTTCCTAGTAAATTGCATTAGCATAGATTACTTTGCAGTGAACATTGTATGGGCTTATTTAATCAATGTCAGCAGAGTCTTCATACTTGTAAGCTTATTCATGAGTTTCTCTTTGCTGTTTCTTAAAATATTTTCAATTGAGGGACATGAATAAGGGTTCTGGTGGTAAAGAGCTTCTCTAATTTAATATGCTCCTGCTAGAAAACTCGAGCTTCTGGAGATAATTCTGAAGAACAGATGTCTGCCTTCCAAAGTGGAAAATACGCATCTGCTTCCTAAATGTCAAAACAATGATAGTAAAGTTATAGCAGGCGCTTGTGAAGGATTGAGTGGGTGTTCCAAAGCCAGATAGCTGGGCCTTCCTGGTAGACACCTGAGACATGTGCCACAAAGCATACACATTATCCTAGCCGCACACACCTGCAGTTTCAAAAGAAGGAAAGAAAAAAAGAGACCAAGAAAGAGTCAGATTGGAAGAAATTGCACTATCTATGGTATAGTAACTTAGTTGCTGGTCTGGCTATTAGAAGTTTGAGATGCCAGCATGACTATCTCTTTAAATATTTCAACAGCATTTCTTTCTTTTATGCTATATTGGACTTACCTGGAATCATTTAGTCACAGTTTCCTATCTCTCCATCGGCACAGGTTTTGGTTTCTGTTACCTGTGGATCAGTTTGTTTTCTTCCAAATGCCTGCATTTACGGAATGTGGTCAGGAACTGACTGGGTTCAGAATAAACTAGGTTGATTATTTCTTCCTGTGCAGTCAGTACACAAGCCTACAGGAAGGAAAGAACACGTTTTTCCCCCTTAAAATAGTGTTTTCACTGTTATACAACAGAGAACAAATAAAAAGGTCAGCTGGAGTGTCAATATTTTCTATACAGAATGCTAGACATTTTAATGTAATTAAGTGCTAGAATTAATGTGTTAATCCTTATATTTTCCCTTGTCCATTCAAGAGATGCATCTCTAATTAAATTTCCCTTTGGCTACACTAATGAAAAGAATATCATCTAAAACTCTAGCTATAGTCAGCATGTGTGGGCAGTAGTGATAAGGCTGGGTAATTGCAGGATTAATAATTGGCTTTTTATTGAGGCTGAAAGCTTACACTGTATAGAAACTCACTGATTCACTTGAAATCACATCTATAGAATCTTCCTTTTGTGCTTTGTGCTTTGTACTGTTTCTTGTATTAATTCCGTGTGTGTGTGTGTGTGTCCCTCTGGTTTTTGCAAGCAGGGTAAAAATCACACTACTCAGTTGTTTCCAGGTCATCTTATTCTGTTTTCATATAATTCTCATAAGCAAGAAGTACAATTTATACAGCAACATTGGTTGTGTGATTAAGAATACCGACTTTTACTTTTGAACAACAACAACAAAAAAGTCCAAATCTTGTTATTTGCAGCAAAATGCATGGAACTGGACTTCATTATGTTAAGTGAAATAAACCAGAAAGACAAACACAGAAAGACAAATACTACATGTTGTCCTTCAAATGGGACAGCTTAAAAAAATCAACTCATTATAAACATGTAATAATTATTAGAGCCTGGGACGAGTGAGAAGGATATAGGAAACACGGCGAAAAAAAGCATAGAGGCAGCTCAATGTGGCTCAATAATTGGGACAAATATACCAATATAAGATGTTAATAATAGAGGAAACGGTGTGAAGTATATAGAAATTCTGTTTACTATTTCAGTTCTTGTTGTGTGGATCTGAAACTACTCTGAAATTAAAAGTTGATGTAAAAAGAAAGAATACTGACTTTTACTATCTCTAACTCAGTGGCCTTACTTATAGTTCAGACCACAAGGTGACTGTTAATGTGGCTATAGGACAGGAATTGCCCACAAATCTAGCAAGAATGCTAAACAATCTTATGACAATGATCAGATCTTCTTACTATACTACTACTATATTGAGCAGCAGTATTTTATCTTTTCCTTGATAAGACTAAGGTGAGGATAGGGGTTGTCATGAAGAACTTGAGCATCTGTCTCCCATCCAAGCGAGATTACAATTGCTTGGATCACTTTTTAAATTTGGAAACAAAGCATTTGTGACTTGGTTCATTTTTTTTTTTAAAGATCCATTGATCTGGGCATCAGTCCTGTCATGTGATAGCAGTATTGGAGTATATACAAAACAAACCCAATAGTGCGCACTGTAGAGAAGGTCCTCTTGAATTGATGGCATTTGTTATGAGTTGGGCAGGACATTCTTCAAATATGGAGCCAATAACAATGAATGCAAGGCTGGTTCTATGAAGCTGACTGGCAAGGAGGAACTAAGGAAGTTGCCACTCATTTCATCTTTTGCTCCAAGGACCTGCAAATATATAAGGCACCCATGGAATGTGCGTTGTGTACTCCACTTTTGCTGAGTGAGAGGAATTTCAACACTTTGCTTAACATCAGCCCATTCTCTTAACTTCACTATTTATTACCCAATTATCGGGGGTGGGGGTGGATAATGCGGTTAGGATAGAAGCAGATTCTCCAGAGACTCCTAAAGCCTACAGAATATTTTTTTCCTAGGAAAAAAAAGAAAGACTAGAGAATGGTAATTTCTATGGAAGAAAACCTGATTATTGAAAGAGGAAAAAGTAGGCTATATCTCTCAGAATTAATTACCACGTCTAATCAACTAAGCCAATCATTCACCTGTTTTGTTGTAGCCACTGTCTATTCCTCTTCTTGGGGCAATTCAAGTCGTAAACCTTCAGGACATATAATTCTCTGCAGGCTCTGCTTTTGTTAATATTTGTAGAGCCCTAAAACACTGAATGACTGCCTGGAGGACTTTAGGTATATTATTATTCTTATTTTGGGCAGCTTAATCATTTAATATTCCTTTGCTATCTCCATATATTAATATTTATTAGCATTATCTAGTTAGAGTTTTATTTCATACTTGGGGGATACATTTCCTAGCATCATTTACATAGTTAGTGCTCATGATTTCCAATGCACTTAGCAAAAGAGAAGATTAATCTCTGTAAGAAGAATGTAAACTTAGTACAGTTAAAAATGAGGTGCTGGAATTCAAGGGCAAGTGAAGTACATGTGGTTCTTTCAAACCTCAGATTAACAAAGTGTGTTTTTATGCATTTCATTTTGACTGTAGATTACTTTAAAAATGCTAAGATTCTTAATTTAAGAATAATGTAGAAGTTTCTTTTGTTTCTATAATCTTTCCTCACAGTTTGCCCTGATGAAAGGAAGTGGTGCACAGAGATTATTTGTTACACATTTCCATAAAGAATGCAATTTATTCTGCACTATATGTCCATTAACTATTACTGCCTTCAATCTGTCAGCTCTTCAACAATCTTTTCCTGAAATTTATATGCAAAGCTTACAGAAAAAACATCTTATTGACTCTTTTATTATTCAGCATGTTAATTTAATATTTTTTGGAAAACTAATAAAGTCTAAGTGCTGAAGGAAAATGGAACTGTTTATAATTCAGTGAGACTGAAATATATCAAACTTTAAATTTTCAAAGAAAAAAAATGTAGAAGGAGATCATTTATTAATATAAAAGCTTAAAGATGATCCATGGAGGAGGAGAGAAAAGGACATTTTAGAGTCAGAGTTCTCTTTGTTAAGCAGGAAATGGCTTTGCAAAACATTGAGTTATCAAGGGAGGCAATTAAAAAGCAAAGTAGACTTGTAGCATTACAGTTTCCTAGGAAGATCATATCCTATTCTATGTATTATCCCTAGGAAAGACCATGAAATCTGCATTTTGGAACCCTTTTTTTCTACCTATATATTTACATCTAGTGATAGGTGAACAGAAAAATTGCAAATGCATGCAAACATGCACATACAAATAAAAGGCGCATTTGTCTGTAATGGAGGAGCTGGCAGAGGGATTGGTGTTCTTCATTGCTTTTCAGTTCATTTTACAGCACAACTGCCATTTCTGAAATTGCTGAAGGAGCTTCAGGCAGTTAGGAAGTAATATGTGGCATGGCTGGCTTATGCCTTAGAATTCAGGTGCCATAGGTATACAGACACAGTCACTTTTATTTATTTATTTTTTTTAGCATACATACACATACCCTCTAAATGAAACAAACATAGCTAAACAGAAACAAAAGCAACAAAAACAAAAACAGATGCAAGGGGTTCGAAGATTGTTTAGTTGACTAAAGTTTTGGGAAATTGTTAAAGCTATGATGTTTATTATGCTGGTATTCTTGCTTGGCATGGAAAAGAATTATGATTTACAAGTTAAGCAATCAATCATCGGTCTCAACCATACATGGCTAAAGTGTTACAATAAACAATTGTTGGTGGAAAAAGCAGTATTCTAAGTAAAGGGATGTCTGTGATTCAACATATATAAACAATAGTTTAAAAATGATATATATTGAACAGAGAAATGGAACAACGGCAGAAGAGATTTGTCTGAGTTCTGTTCCCAGTGCAAGGAAATAAAAAATGAATTGTGAAGAACAGAAAAGAAAGATTTCAGCAAGTTCTCAGATGAAGGGATTTAAAGGAACTATCCAGATAGTTGTTTCAGAGTATTGTTTTGTTGAGAGACTTAAGGAGTTGTGCTGGGGTGTTGAATATGACCACAGGTACTGGTGATAGCAGTTGAAAATAGAGAGAGATCTAATTCCAGTTTTTTTAAAAAGTGATTCAATTTGATTTTAGAAGTGATTGAGATTACTACAGATCTTTGAAAAAGTAGTATCAAAGCAAAAAAGCCTAATTGTATCTCTGGATGATATATAACAGTGATAGATTTGTTTTTACAAGTTCTACAGAATAGCAACACATTCATTTTAATTTATGCTAATTGTTCTGTGGCCATACTTTGGAGCAGAGAGATCATGAAGAATCCAAGCTTTAAGGAATTTATTGTATAAGTCTGTGCACAAGTTTTGATTTCTGAAACCAGAAAACATGTTGATAACTGTAAACTCTAAGAGATCTCTTAACCTCTTTAAGCCTCCATTATATATATATATATATATATATATATTGCAAAATCAAGAGACTAACAAATAATTTGGAATATTTTCTTAGATTTAAAATGTTACTATATATGAGCTAGTGGTATTGCAAATAACAGATCTGCATATATTTCACCACACCTCAAAGATGATCCAGCAGAAGAGTGGTGGGGATGGTGTCAGTATTTTGAGACTCCTGAAGTTCAAGAACTTGGTAGTAACAGTGATCAGGAGGAAGGTGTGGATTCCGCCAATTCATTTTAATGGGTTTTTTATCTTGCTTTTGTCATTTTCTTGTTTGGATATTTTTTCTTTATCTTCCGCCTTGCTTCTGACCTGCAAGTTTAGGATCCTCATATTAGCAGGGACAAAATTACACTGAAATGTGATAAAATTATAACAGCTGATTGCTTTTAATATTCCAGTGACATCACGCTTTTACCATGAAAATGCAGAGCTGGTAGTAAGTTTTGACGATATAACATCCAGGTATTTAAGACAGATTCCTTTGACTAACAGCAGACTTGATAACATCTAAGTGTGCTTCTTCTTATAGGTCCTTGGGGAAAATTTCAGTAAGAAATTTTATCACAACCACCAACTAATTAGAAAGCCTAAAGTCACAAAATATCCACAAACAACTGAAATAGGAGAATTCTTAATTATGGAACACATTCACTTTCCTTACAGAGATTGCCAAATTGTACTTAAAATAGTCTTTGCTTGGTTAGCATCAGTGAGAAGTTTATCTTAATGAAGTTGGTAGGCATTTTATCGCCATTGATAATACCTATGCTGACCTAAGTGTTTCTGTATATCTTCAGCATCTCAGT